TCTTTACTAGATTCGTAAAATAGGGGATCTGCTTTCACTGCGCCTGTATATGTAAGAGAATCACACTTGAAACTTTTTAAACTTTGTAAGTATTCTATTTCCAAAGAATAAAAATGGAAAATGTGAAAAAAATGATTTGTTACTCCACGAACCCAGTGGAAGTTACATCATGCAAAATAGCTGTGCTTGCGTTGAATATTTTTTTCATGCAGTAAATTTTTCCAAAATTAATGAAATAAACGGGTAATTTTTAGGTTAGTTTTCTCTACCTAATTTCGATGGCAATTTTTATTATTTGAATATTCTAGAGAATTATATATAATATTCGAGTGTATAATATTCCACGGTAAATACTTAAATAATAAAAATTGCCACCAAAATTAGGCAGAGAAAACTAACTTGAAAATAACAGAACAAGGCAAGCGCAACGATAGTCACAAACACCACAACCAAAAATATGCCTGACACGAGTTTCGCCTCTCTACGGCGCATTTCCAGAACTTGTTTATTATGCAACGCTCAGCCGAAGTATGTCGAAAGTAACGCCTGAGTCGATATAGGTAATTAACATGCAAACAATGTTTTGCCTATCACTGGTCAGAAGTCAGTAAACGTCTCCTAATGTGCATTGTATGCTGTTATTGCATAAAATAAGTAGGTAGGTTGTGATTATGAGTGCAATAAATACCTTTATAAAACTTCAATTGAACGAAATAGGCTTTAAGAGTCGATGGGGGATGCGCGTCATGAACGCGCGTTTACGATGACGTGACAAGCTCAAAAAGCAGATTGTAGCGTTTTTTGCAAATTTTTAGGCACCTGATTTAAATTGCACAGTGTCGATAAAAAAAAACAATGTCGATTGTTAAAAAATAAAAAAACAAATCTGTAGGCACCTTTATGAATCCCAGGGATCCGCCTTGCGGCAGTTTTAATAATTTTTATGTAGACACTTATTCAATCATTTGTATGCTATACTTACTCATGCAGTCCAAACAAAATACAAAATAATAAAATAAACAAGTTTGTTCAAAAATATAAAAATCACATAAAATGTAAATTTTTGAAGAAATCTCTAATTTTGTAGAATGCCAAATCTTTGAGATAAGAAATGACAGTAAGATAAGTACGTACGTAGCACAAAAGGGAGATAAATATTTAACCTAAATTAATTAATGGAGTCGTCCAGAGCGCAAATTCTGAATTAGAAACTGTATATCTCAGGTAGTATCTAACACGGTGTTCATAAACTCTTCGGAGATAAAGCCAAAATGAAAACGCCTTAATAAAAAAAAAACAGTTCTAATAGTAGGTTTTGCAATGGTTTTTTTTTTAATTTTTATAATGAGCCATACAAATTCTACGAAAAATCGTTACAATCAGACACAGCACGTTCATGTCGACACAACTACAGTTTATCGTAGTGATCGACATTCCGTTCTGTCCCGCAATGGAGACAGACGACTCTTTAGCGATTGTTGGTTTTATTCTCGCCTTAAGAAAATCCGTCTCCGTCGTCACACACATGACAACGATTATTGCACAGTTCATCCGGTTCCGATTTGTCTATTTAAATTTTGATATTCCATTCGACGGTCCAGTTTAAAAAATCGTACAAAACTTCACAATTTTTTCATAAACACGTTATGATCAGTTGGTATGATCAAACGGTGCCGTCTGATCGTAACGGTTTTTCGAAGTGTTTGTGGGCCCCATAAGCTAGTGGATTTTATGGATGCGATCTCGGACCGTCAGGGGGACCCCTCGACATCAACGTTGAACATAAATGATGCGAATAGCTACCAATCGTACTTATTGTGTGGTTGAATATATGATCGCCGTCGATGAGCGGATCTTCATCCTTATTCAAATGCTAGTGTTTTGCGAAATATAAAGCAGCAGAGAAAATATGGCGCTTGTATCAAGGATTGACTACCTGTGTACCTGACACGCCCTCTTCCATCTTGTTGGCTGCGGCCGCGGTCGGCTGTACTTTTTCTACCTTTTCTTCTTTCTTCTTATGATGTTTCTTGGTTTTCTTCTTCTTGGTTTTCATTTCTTTCTTCACTTCTTTTTTATCCCCTTCCTCTACTACATCTGTTTTCTCCGTTGCTGCTGTTAACCGTTAGTTAGTGATTAGAAATAACTAAGAACTTATTTAGGATCTAGGAAATTTTTTGGCATTAAAATTGGTTCAGGCAGTAAATGAAAAATTTATTTATTTAAAATTCTACTACACATGGATAGGAGGATAGGTACAGTTACCAAATTATTCCTAATATTCAACTGGATACATCTATATTCATTGCCATTATTCACAGAAAGTACGTAACTTGCTTTAAAGTGGTAATACTTGTATATAATAATGGTAGCCTCATTAGAGAAGTTAAATTGGGCCACAACAAGTGTCACAAAAAGATTCAATAACCGAATAAATTTCTTTAGACTTTCCATGCAAATTTTTTCAAAAGTTTTTTCGAATAATCATTTTGTAACACTACGCAACGTAAATCTGAAAATTTGCTAAAACATCTTTCACAAAAGGTTTCATTTGCATTATCACAAAGTCACGATGGTTACGTGACAACACATTGAAATACATGAATCATCAAAAATGTATTTTATATGAGACAGATTGTACTTTGATGATGGCTCAGTAACCTGTAACTGCTGCTGCAGCTGCTACGGACGGTGTTTCGGTCTCATCCTCTTCATCAGACGAATTGCTGGATTCTTCTTCAGTTTTCTCCTGAGTTTTAGTTGTTTCTGCTACTTGAACTGCCGCCAATGTCGATGCCCTATTTATATTTTAAATCAGCAGGTGCTTCACAGTGAAACTATCATACATTTAAAAGCTACCGAGTGGCGAGATTTTTTATGTACAATATTTTGTAGTTGATCGCTGATGACCTTGACTACGCTACTTGAAAAACGGAAAGCTGACGGCTCTTAACTCGTATAAAAATGGAAGTAGGACGCTACTGGTCGTTTTTGTCAGAAAAAGGCGTGCTCACGGTGTTACAAAATGTCCCCTACAGTGGCGCAACGTCTTTGATGTTCGGTGTCTTTGACATGCAAGGGTTGCCACAACGTTCCACAACGTTGTTGTTGTATGACGTAATCACTTATTATTCATTACCAGTAATTATTACGAGTACTCATGAATACACAATGATTGTTAAATATTACTTATGTAGTAATAAAACTTTACAAGTGTTGCAGTTGCTTTTTTTTTGCTGTTAAAGTGATTAAAAAACCAAAGAGAAAGATCTGCATCAAACACGTAGAAAAATTCGTAAGGTCCGCGGGTTCATTCCGTGGCTTAGTTGGCATAGCGTCTGCCATGGTTTACTAGAAGACGTTGGTTCGAATACAGCCGGGTCGAAGGAATTTTGTCTACGTTATTTATAACAAACTAGTACAGTAATTTCACAAAAACTAATGGAATAATATGGTGGTGAAACATCCTCATATTTAATAAACTTAATTCTAAAAAGTTAACAACTAATTTCAATAGAATCTGTAAGCGCCTCTCCTAGCCCTGTACTCTCGTTCTCCGTCCATCATCCGTCCGAAACAATTACTGTCAAATAAGTAACACTTGACGAAATTAAAAAACGCATGACATTAATCAAGCTTCATACTTGTCATTGTCTCTTGGTCGAGTATTACTTATTTCACAGTAGGTAATTGTTTCGGTGACATTGTCATTTCGCAGATGTGGCCCAAAGTGCGATATGTACTTAGTTCAAAGTACTCAAAAGACTCATGGCATCATCATCATCATCATCAGCCTATTTATATGTCCCACTGCTGGGCACGGGTCTCCTTTCAGACGAGAGTTTAGGCCAAAGTCCGCCACTCTGGCCCAATGCGGGTTGGGGACTTCGCACGTTTTCCGAGCGTTGTGAACTTTCTTCAACGTGCAGGTTTCATCACGATGTTTTCCTTCACCGAAAAGCTCATGATAAATTTCGCACATAAATTCCGAGAAACTCAGAGGTGCGAGCCCGGATTCGAACCCACGACCCTGTGCCTGAGAGGCAGTTGGTCAAACCATTAGGCTACCACGGCTTCTCATGGTAATATACGTCGGAAAATTAAAGTTAATATGCAAGAGATTGAGATATTTATTACTTACCCATGCTCCCGTAAAGACAATTTTTCGTTACTATCACTGAAAGAACGATTCTCAATCAATAAGTTGGTAATTAACACAGTGAAATAGAGTATCTGTACATATAAATTGATTTCAATTTAATAATATGTCTTCGCTTATAAATCTTTGATTAAATAATTTGAAACTTTAATAGTAATTAATCATTCAAGAGAGAACCGAGCCATCGGTTAGATAGAAGCCGTCATTTATCTTGCTTAAAAACCAAGTCAGCAAAAGCAGTAATATTCCATACAGAAAGAGAGACACTGCTAACCGTCTTAGTTTAATTTCTTAGATAGAACCTCAAAAAGTAAATATAAAGGAAAATGTACTTGTCATCGTGATCCTTATCAGCTTTGGCGGCGTGTTCATCACTGAAAAGGAATTGAAAAATTAGAAGGAGTTGAAGCTTACAAACTGCTTTTGAACTTGACTTTTTTATGATACCAAGTCTGCCCTCGTAACGAAAAAAGGGCACAACTATGCGTACTTTATATAGCAATTGCACCTTTTTTCGTTCCGAGGGCAGAAGTGTTAGTGACACGCCTAAGAGTTGTTAACGCTCGAAAACTGCTGTCAAATGGTTCCGTGTAGCAATTCTAATAAGGATGGGCCCCAAGATTTCTATTGATAGCATTGAGACACTTGGGTCGGATTAGTCATTATTCGAAGGAAAAATCTAAACATTCTATGTAGGTTTTAACGTAAAATCCATTAAACGCCGTCTAGTGTCCTTGGAAGGAACTACAAAATCCTTCTAGTTGTCGAAAGCGGTGTACATTAAATAGGTTTGTTAGTTTTTGATGCAGGTTGTTTGTATGATTTTGGAAATTTTCGCAGTCATTATCGCAATTGTTTTTTTTTTCATATAATATTAAGTGACGGGACAAACAAGTCATGCCCGTGATGGTAAGTACACGCCTGTCCATAACAGTCGCAGTGCCACTCAGTGCTCTAAATCGCAAAGGTCTATTATGTAAAGTCATGATAAAACCACATGCCAAGTAGGCCTGTGGTGTACCACAAGGTGCAGTATCGGGACTGCCCTGGCGTGCTCCCGACACTGTATGCCGCAAAATGCCTCAAGGAGCATTGTGGGAATCTCCAGGATGTGTACGATACATTTATAAAACCACAGTAGGTTTTATATATATAATAAAAACTCGGATTTCATTTGTTTCATGATTACGTTACCATAATTGAGATATTAATCCGCGATACTGGTATAAAGATATCAATATGTACGTTATTGCATTTAAAGCGAGATATTTGAATGGGAGCCTAAATTTTAGGTGTGGTGTTGAGGGGCCGCACGCGCGTCCCGGAATACGGATTTGTAGTATCTGAACCCGGGGTCGGTTTAAATTTGCAACGGAACTCGAATGAGCCCAAATGCGAGTATCATGTGATCCCGGGACTGGTTGCTTGTCAGAAATAATTAAATTTGAGTCGCATCCGGTCCCGGGTTCAGTTGCACCTCGAGAGATGACATTAAATTTGTATGGTCTGAATTCGAATTCATTTTCGATAGATGTTGATACATTTTGTTGCTTTAAGGTGTGATGAGCTTGTTTCCAAACACTATTTCGATAAAATAATTTTAACTAATAAGAGTGTTCAACAATGATCAATATAATTTTCGTTCAAATCATGCATAAGACCCGCCATACAACTTGTTCCAAATCCAACGGTTTTTAGATAGCATGTAATTCGGGAGTTTTTGAGTCCCTCGTATGTATATAGAATCATACATTAAAACATATTTTCGAACTTTAATCGGTTTCCTTAAAAAAAAATTTCCTCGGAAAAGTGTTCGGAAACTAGCTCATCACCCCTTAAATTTACATATATGTATAACAACATCTATCGAAAATGAATTCGGGTTCAGTCACGAGGTGCAACTGACCCCGGGACTGGATGCGAAACAAATTTAATAATTTTTGACAAGCAGCCAGTCCCAGAATCACACGATAGGTACTCGCATTTGAGGTCATTCGGGTTCCGTTGCAATTTTAAACCGACCCGGGTTCAGATGCTACACACCCCGGAATTCGCGTGGAGAAAATTTAGGATCACAAAAGTTATTTCAATATAGGACGAGAATAATCATAATGTAACAACCCTACGCTCCGAAGGACGTATAGGCATTGACACGTCACTCGTACAGGCGGGAATTGGACGACTCGCCCTAGTATAGTATGTCATTAAGATTGTCAAAGAACTAAGCTCAGTGCCTCTACCATGAAATTACAGTGACAGGTATCGCTAGCGACCACATAAAATGTTTGTAAACAAAATATATCCATAAACATAAAAATAACAATGATTAAAGCGACCTGCACCTGCATAGTCACCTGCTGGTAGCTGTAAAGATACGAGTTGAGAGCCTTTTTTGCCATAAGAGACTCTTAACTCGTATAACAATGTAAGTAGCGGGCCTGAGGCGATGGCGCTCAGGTGGGCACGGATCTAGGCACAGGACGCTACTGGACATTTTTGTCAGAAAAGGGCGTGCTCACAGTATTACAAAATCTTTCCTACAGTGGCGCAACGTCTTTGATGTTCGGCGTCTTTGATATGTAAGGGTTGTCGCAACGTTCTTTAACGTTGTTGTTGTGTGACGTAATCATTTATTATTCATTAACAGCAATTAATACGAGTACATGTGAATACTATACTATACACTATTTTATTCCTATTGCAAGCTATTTAATGAAGAGGTTTCAGTACTCAGAAAAACATACAAATTAAATATGGTCCATTAACAATATATACAGTACAGGATGATCCCCACGGATCATCTTGTACACCAAAACAATAATCATCTTGCCCCAATTTACTTATTTTTATTTTTTGTTCAGCAAAATAACCTGTATGCTGTCTACTGTTACCACGCCACTAAAAAGTTAATAGAGTATTATACAAAGGCACCAATACAAAAATCTTAGCAATTGATTGCTTAGAATGGAAGTTGCCTAACATTTTAATCAACTTTACCTTAGATCGAACTCACACAATTTTTGTTTTTTCCACAAAAATGAACTCGTCACTCACATCGCTTACGAATTGACTGATGAGAGGGCACATTGAGGGGCTACATTTTACTGAAGAAAATATCTAGATGACGCTACTAGTTTCGCTACAATTCAAAAGGATCATCTTACCTCCAAGGATCATCTCGTACACCTTTCCCCTACTTCCCGGTCGAACTCTTTCATTCTACTCTACTGCTACTACAACTGCTGCTGATCTATTGCTACTATCTTTGCACTAAAAATGATTAATATTGTTTCTTACTGTGACCGCTAGGGGCGCTGTATAATTTGTCATACGACATATTGTGAAGTAATTTACGCGGTCGCCAACGACAACTGTCACAGTAAACTCGTGGTAGATTCGATGCGATGTGACACATATTCCGTACACACGTTGCGTAAAGTGAAAACATGACTTACTCGTCGTTTTCCTTGTATCCATCCCAGTTAACGTCCCATTCTTCATGAGTTATGCCAGTTCTGAATACTCTTCTGCAGTTTTCTCTACAGTAAAATGAAAATGTTTTATAAAGCATATTACAACGTAATAATAATGTTTGTTAAAGCAGCGTATATCCATTGTTCCTAATGGGCGGAATAAAATAAATAATATATTATATCTTACTTATAGGTATAAAACTTTATATTAAGTAGGTATCCATGTTTTGCCTGTAACTTAGAATATATGAAAAGGAACTTACCCTCTGAAAAATACAGTAATCATTAAGATTTTAATATGTTTTTATGTCCCACATACTGTCGAATAACGTGGTTAAAGTTTTACTTAAAAAAATTTGACATAATAAATGTTAGTTATATTTCAGGTGTTGTGTAAGGAAAACGTAACTTACCCTCTGGAAAAAGAAATAAATATTATTAAAACTTGAAAGAACTGGAAAGTTCGAAGAAAGAAATTGAACTTACGAGTATCAATAATATTATTAATTGACTTATAGATTCTTTATATCTCGATTAATATCTTGAAGGTACTAACTACATTACTACTTGGCGGCGGAAATAGATAAGGTGGCAGTACTTTCCCAGGACGAACTTTTTCACAATGAGTATACCGCTACTATATCATTAATAATTTAATATTTAATTATTTCAAATTGAGAACAGTGTGACGAACACTTTTAGGGTCGTATTCTAGAAATCTATTCAATGTTCAAGTCAGGATTGCACTGGCAACACAAGCACTGGAAATACGATCCTAATGGCAGGGACTTGAGTATGATTTCGAGTGCTTTAAACCATACTCAAATTCTGACTTGAGTATGGTTATGGTTACATTCCAAATTGATTGGATTGAATCTTTGGTAACACCATGTAGATTTCCGTACAATTTTGAGTTTGGCATTATGATTTAAGCAAATTGTAATGGACAACAGAGATTAAATCGGTAAGCAGTGACATAGCACTTACTCAACATCCTTATTAATAGCGCATGAAAGGAACTGTCGGTTTTTGAACACAGAAGTGTAGAGAAAGGGTCCGTGACAGCTGTGGGTCTTCGGGTCTATCTTACAAGCCGAGATCACTCCTATCACTCTCTCTTTGTTTTGATACCTCACTATCAGCGGGCCGCCGTGATCATTCTATATAAACAAGGTAAATATAGTCTATATTATTGAGATATTTTGTGAAAAACTCCACTAATTTCTGTTCTGTATAGTTAATACGAAGATCGAACACAAAGAAAAACTTTCTTCGACCCGTCCAGGTATCAGTCCACACACACAACAGGGTCCAGTTATCGAGTCGTCGAAATTCTCCAATATGTTTTTGTTAAAGATCGTTGCCCCGCTAGTGACATCTAGTGAGAGATTTTAGAACCTTCACCTCAGCCAACACCTTTACAGGTGCCTCAACTGACGTAGGTACATATAATATGAGAATTTCGACATTACAACGTAACAACGCTGTAATGTATTAAAACCGATACATAAAACTTTTTTCTTCCTATTTTTCAAGTCAGAAACACGTCACTTTCAGCCATTTTATTTTACTTCTATTAAACAACATTAAGTCGGAGTACGATGGTCAAGTTGTTTATAAAGGCAAAATATTTAATCCATAAGTTTCATTACTTTCAAAGTATAAGTTGTCAAACCCCGAGGTCATGTACATTAAGGTGACTTCTACCACGATATGCTAACGATAATACTTCCGCACGTTGCTGGGGACATCGGAGAGTATTGTTTTCATAAATAACGTATACAGTGGCAGGAAGGGGTGGATGATAGCTATTGGTACGCTATAAGGCATTTAGTATACATTTAATTTGTCATATTCTGCGTCACATACCATCTAATGTATTTACTGTTAAAAAAACACTATTTGGACACTCGGCACAACGTGTAGACAGAGGCCTTGAAATAATTGAGTATAAATATAAGGGTCTACTCATTGACTTACAATAGTCAATGGGTCTACTGGATAAAATTCTCAGTTACCTACCACAAATCAAAACCCCGTCTAGCTGAGGTCCACATGCTTTTTTCCAATTTTGTGATCCTGTTGTTATTCTACTGAAAGTGTTACTTACTACTCAAAATAACATGTGTACCTAAGCCATTAATACGTTAAATAACCTCATAACCTTCGCATGCCTTAGTCCAAGTCTGATTTAAATTGATGAAAATGAGTCTGTAAGCTCAAAAAGACCGTAATGAACAGACCTCACAAAATCCTCCTTGCAATGAAGACCGCCGAGCCGTATAATCATCCGGATCCCTCAAATGCCTCCCTAAGTCCACGTTAAAGATTCTGTTATTACTATCTGCGTCTGCATTATAATTAGCTTCTTCAATAAGCCTCCGAGTCTCGACATCCGTGCAGTTAGCATATTTCTTCTGCAAAAAAGATCTTCATTGATCAAAATTTCAAAATACAGCGCATTCAAACTCAAACTCAAACTCAAAATAATCTTTATTTCATAGGTAAGCATTATTACACTTGAAATCGTCACAATGGTTAAACTCTACCGCTCATTCGTAAGGCAGATTCCCCTAAGAAGAATGAGTAAGAAACTCTAGGGGTTGCTCTTTGTAAATAGCATTTACAATATTTTTTTATTTTTATTTGAAACATCAGAGATCGAGACTACCTCCATGAGCTAAACGGGTTACTACCACGGATTTTTGTCATCCAAGTACGCAGAAGTTGTATAATAACCTTTAGTATAAAGTTTTTGTTTCACTATAGTTTTAAACCTCGTGAAAGGCAAATTTTGTATATCAACCGGAATCTTGTTATAGAAGCGTATACATTGCCGCATTGCATTCAGAAACAGTGCCGCTTTTAGTGTGGAGGGGTCTTGGGATTTCCAGTGTTTCTTTTATTTTTTGAATGACTTCAAGGACAGACAAATACCTAGGCAAAGACTTTAACTGTTGTTATTTAATAAATTGACCAAAACTTCAAATTCAGGATTGATTACTTACGTCGCAAATTTCACTAATTCTCTTCATGACGTCTTTGGTGCAGATCATGTATTGCGAGATTATGTTCCTGAACCTTTGCGCCCACTTCTTGCAACAGGCTTCGTTGTCCATAATACATACTTTGGCCTCTTGTAAGCACTTGGCGTTTTCTGGAATATGCACATTTGCATCTTTTCCACTTGATTGGCGACGGTAGACGCCCTAATAATCAATTAATGCATTGAGATGTTGTATTTTATTAGAAACAACGAGCATTTAAACAATAGATAAATTAAGTACATACATTCGAAAAAAATACTGACTAGAAAGCATTACAATCTGAAAGCTAAAGAAATAAAGCTTCTGAATTGAGTCTACTGTAAGTGCAAGCAAAAAAATACCAGTAAAGACTTATGCTGTAAGCAAAAAAAAATTACTTCTCTGAAATTACTACCGCTACCCCATCCGGCAATACACCCTTTAGTTCCAGGTTTCTCCAAATCTCTACTAATGTTGTTATAGCAGATAATATCCGTTGGAAATTCGCAACCACTTTCGCAAACTCCCAATTTGAATGGCTTTTCTACTTTCACTATTGCAATGTCGTTAGAAGACCATTTTATACTGTCTTGGAAGTCAAATTTGTAGTCTAAAACCAAAGTATTGGAAAGTGATAACTTGCTTCTAAATTTCAGTAATTATCTTGGAACGAAAATGCTCATTACATATAGATCTAAATTTTGATAACGACATAGTAGCATTGTCTATGTTTTAGTGTCATATTTATACTTACTTTTAGGTATACACTTCCATACGACTCTACGGCGATGTTTACATACACAGTCATCGTTCTTGTAATCAAAACTGTCGACGAATTTTGTAGTCCCTGATACAATGTAGAATCGATCAGCATCTTCGACACAAGCGGCTGAAGTTAATACGTAGTATTTGTCTACGATAACACCACCACATAACCAACCACGGTATTTATGAGCTTTAGCTGACTCTTTGGTTAACGAAAGATATACCTGTTGAGAAAAATTACCAAATCAACACTATTCCATTTGACCAATTTTGAATAACTTTCCTGCTCTAGCCATATGTTGACTGAACTTATGGATGATATATCGGTAACGCCACACATGAATTATTTTTATTTTTAAATTTCCCGTATAATTTTTGTTAGCTATGTTTAACTTTCACATTCAAACCAATATCCTCTTCTTTGGTGATACGTTAATTTCATTAGTTATGCATAGCATCGAATCTTTCTCTCTTCCCTTTTGCACTGTGCCAAAATGCCTTTGAGTGAAGGGGATAGGCGACAAGAAGTCGCCATTAGAGTGCGCTGGCTTTGTATTTGCTGGCTCGTGGTACGGCAAGAGAACCTCGCCGCGACCACTTCGAGAAAAAGAAAAAAGAAATAAAAAGAAGATGGAGACACTACGCTGGTCTTGCGGATGACGGACATTTTTGCGTGTGAATATTTTCCTGGCGACGTACACCTCCAGCGTATACGGCCCTAACGAGAAGTTCAAGGTACGGCACAGTTTTTCTTCAGAATATTTATTTCTGTTTTTTATTCTTTATTTTCTCGATGCTATAGCCGTAAATCCGACTTTCCTTCTTCGACTTTTCTAGAACCGCGCCTTACAGTCCACACCACCATCAAATTGAATAGGTTGCAAAACCTCCCAGCCGCTCCCATAGCAAATCTTTTTGAGGGTGGCTAGTGACGAACATTATTACTTAAATGGTGTGGACTCATAAAGATGCTAATTTTAATGGCCGCTTTTTTAATGGCAGATTTTTCTTCAACAACCTGTTTAAATTTACCCAATATAGACATCCTCTCTTTAAAAGTATACCTTAGCTTCTCACCATATATGGTCTTTTTCCTTTCGGTACTGTGCTGCTGTATAAAATCCTCCGAGTGTCAACGAAGGAGGTGTTTTCATACTCCCAGCCATCATCGGAGATCTCATCATAATTATCACCGCTAGTAACATTCGATTTAAATTTAGGTAAGGTAATAGTTTTGTTATTCGAAGTTGTACTAGCAGCTTCAGTGACAGCTATTTGTGGTGCTGTCGGACTGGAGGCGATAGCTACCGAAGACAGTCCCATTGGTGTTGGGTCCGTTAAGGTTTTATCTGAAAAAATAATTTCCACGAAGAGCATTTTTTTTAGTATTACCTGTAACATTTCAGGATTGTTTCCAAATTTATTTAAAAAACTAAATAAAACTCAAAGCTCTATAATTTCTAAAAATTTAAAGCCAATTGACACCCAGCAGTTAGTTGTCAGGATTTCATTTCAGATTCGATTCTCTGTTGTACCAGTTAAGGAAACAAAATATCTAAATTGGTTCTGGCATTTGTAGAGTCGTTACTTTGGTACTCATAGTATGACGAATTACCATGAATGAAAAAATATTCAACAAAAGCGCAGCTATTTTGCACGATTTAACCTTCATTGGGTTCGCGGAGTAGCAAATTAATTTACTTCCATTTTTATTAACATGGACTTCCGGAAAGTAACGCCTGAATCTATTAATTACTTGATGAATTACCAGTTTGTTACCAAACAATTGACGTGATTTCTGTGCACATTTGAATTATTATTTATTTCATGATGTGAGTTCTATCATATTCTGATACAATAAACAATACGTTAACTGAAGTTCAAAGTGGTACTTTCATCTATGTAGTGCACTTTTTCAGCTTTTGTATGAAAATTTAATCTTACCTAGTAACAAAAACCAAGACATCAGGTACAGGCAAAAATTCGTCATTATGATACAAAAGAAGTTCTTGGAAGGATCGCTTGCATGAAGGCAATTTCCAAATTAAATATTTCTGTTAATTATCTGTTCAATCACCATAGCCGATACGGTTTGGAAATTTCAATTATTAGGTTTCCGGGAAAACATTGGCTTTTATGCTGTCCTCAAAACGAAAAAAGGCACAACTGCTGTATAAAGTACGCATAGTTGTGCTTTTTTTCGTTACGAGGGCAGTATAGTAGATCTGACGTAATTTATTGCAAAATAAAATAACAGAGTATCAGGCAAATAAGTGAAAATATCCGATTTTCATTGTAATAGCACTTTCTTTTCTCCGGCCACTTTAATATAAAATATAATATATACACATCAATTATGTTTTTATTTGGACTTTAATTATTAAGTAAATCCTAAAATATATATTGACAATGTGGATAGGCAATCAAATGCTTCGGTTAGGTAACCAGTAGTACATTTGTCGGTGTTCTGAAGAACGTAAGCGACATTTCGTAGATTTTTCAGGGGAGTTTAGACTGTTTAAAATATTTACGTTCTATTTTAAAATTATATTTTGGTTCTAATTACGTTTAAGTTTTAGAATTGACAGATCAGGACGTAAATACGAAATGTCGCTGTATTTAATATAACTAGGTAAATAGGTACTTGGGAATGTTTTACTTGGATATACTAATAGCAGTTTTAATATATTTACTTCAAACTTATTTTGGGTAGTAATTTTAAATAATACAGCTCATCAAGATGAATTTACCCAAGTATGAGATGAATTTTAGTTTTATAACAATATTTCACATTTAGTCATACTCATTATTATAAAATTTTTAGCAATAAAATAGGTACTCGAATTCAGAATTTGATATCAGAAACTATTTTTATAGGAATATTATTAGACATTTCTAATGAAGTAAATTTTAAAAGTAAATTGTGTAGGGTAAAAAAATAGGTTCCAAGATAGCACCTTGAGGCATCCTACCTAAAAGTACAAAGGTGAAGCAAAACAAACAATTAATATTCGAACTAAATTTTATTCGTTACAATAACTTTAATTTGCTGCAAGTAAGTTTTTGTGCAGTCTTGTAGCATTTGTAGGCAAATTTGTTTCGTTGACAGGCCTGAGCACGAACCCACCGTGCACGCGGTCGCCAGCGCTTACGTCGTCCTGGGCTCGTTGTACCACTTGCATCTGCCGGGTGAAAATTGACCAGTTCAATAATTTGTTTGTTGTTCAAATTAGAAAGATTATCCATGTATCTGAAACTAGATCAACTTGTGAATTTCTTGAGCGTTTATTAAGCACTAAATAGAAGTGACTGCATGAACAGTGAGTTTGCGAACAGGATTGCACACAAGAAAAATTAAACAAATGCAAAGTATGAGCAATTAAAAAATTCTTAATTTAATGCATATATTGTTTATCTTTTATTTTAACTCTACTCAAAGAACAATTTGACTGCCTCTCACATTCTTTGTGCCGGCGAACTTTTGGAAGACCTTGAACTGACCTGAGCAGGAGCGACTGGTGCTGCGACGACTGCTTTGCTGAGAGTTGCATCATCTCGAGCTGCTTTGCCCATCGGAACTTGCGCTGAGGGAGCGGCAGCTGCAGCGGGTGCTGCGGCTGCCGCAAGATTTTCTTGAGCTAATTCAAACTTCGCTGGTCTGGTATGTAACAAAAACAACGATAAAAAATAACAATGTTACGTGCTATTTTGAGAGGACAAAGATTTAACTGATATGGGTGTTATATCCGTGTTGTTTGAGGACACAGTTAACACAAGAATCTGTAGATTGTACTACTTGGTTGTGAGACACCTGAATACAATTACAAGGTTCCTAATTTAAGATAAACATAGTACCCATCATCGTGATCCTTCCACGATAGCACTGTTTCCACATGAGTTACTCCTGATCTGAATTGACGGCGACATTTAGGCCTGAAAGAAGAAAATGTTGATAAAACTAGCTGACATTATTCAATAGTTATTGATAGGTACTTATCGCTATTACTTAGAATGATAAACTGGTCTTGGAATGGACACTATTGAGGAAGTACTTTCCGAAAAGAATATATTTGGAAGTAGAAAATTACTACCATTGAATTTGCAAATTATACTTACTCAACGTCTTTATAGATAGCACAGGAGATGAATTGCCGGTTCTTGTAGATACTCGTGTAGAGGAATGGTCCGTAGCATTTGTTATTGCGCTCCTTCACGAGACAGGCGGAGATTATGCCGATGACGACAGAAGTGACACCAGATCCGTAAACTAGGGGCCCACCGTGGTCATTCTGAGGACAGACAGCTACAATGAAAATAAATAGGTCACTATTACAGTGACATGAATATAAGAATTCAGCGCTCTGTAGTAATTGTAAATGTACTTTTAGAGAAGTTTAGGAACAAGTATTTATTTGGAACAGGTAACGAGCATCTAGAGTGTGCAGTAAGTTATAATGACAACTAAAAGTAAGATTTAAAATTTCCCATAATAAATCTGTGACACGATAGTAGAAATATGACTAAATACTAAAACTGGACGTTACAAAATGAAATTAGCCATTAGAAGGAGATCGAAACAATAATATGGTTTTACAATGTTGTGCATAGGATCAATTTTTCAGCCAAAAACAAATTGCGACGTTAAAGTTAAAGCGGTAGTGTAGAAAGCTGAAATATCACGTTAATAATTTTTCTGAGAAGGGTATAAAGTTAGCAATAGTTTAGTTAGAGTTTAATTAAGTTTCATTTCTATAACACGATTTTGATTCTAAAATAATTGTAAAATAAATTTTTTGGTTGTTTAGATTACTAGCTATGTACTCTATCACCTCTATGTAGCTATCAATATACTTGTAGTTATGTTACGAATAGACAAGATTATTGTTTATTTAAGTAATCCTGAATAAGTTTTGTTAGGTATGAATACAGTATTCTGTGAGAAATTTTAGTTGTCGCGGATATGCGGGGATAGCTCTATGCTTCTGAACTCCGCTTACTTCGTTAATCAGGCCCGGGGCTCTCTGACAGGATGGCTCAGCAGAGGGTTTTTTGGTGACGAAATAATAATTATTTTTTAAAGTAAAGTAGGAGGCTAACGAGCAGCTCCATATCTTTCTACATTAGTTTTGATTATAGTGACCCTCCCTACCGACCCTTAGGGTATACGAGAAGGGTGACACGACGAAAACCGTTTTCGAAACCGATTTCGTCGACGCACCGTCCATTATTAATTTATCTTAAACACGTGACTTGTTCATTAATTTGGTTAATACGTCTGATGTCACGGTAGTTTTCTGTTTAAAATCAAAAAGCATAATAATTATAGAGCGGAACCCAAAAATAAGTTTAAAATTAATTCGGTGTTTTTATAGAGTTCTTACGTTTTTACGATTGTTACACAATGAAACTTTATATTTGGTTTTAAACGACTTTTTAGACGTAGCGCCATCTATGAGAAATCTAGGGAAGTATTTCGTCATCCAGCTAGGTAACTTTACAGGTAGGTCGTGTATGTCGCTATTATTTGTAATTAAATTTGTATTCAATTGATATTCATTTTTTTTTGTGAAATTACTCCACTCTGGTTTGTTATAATTATTAGTTATAAAGATCGAACACTTACAAAAAATTCCTTCGATCCGGCAGAATTCGAACCGATGTTACGCTATGTCAACTAAGCCACGGAACAACACGGTTGGCAACTTTACAGCCTTGGCTAGAGATGTAGCTATTAATTGTAATTAAATGGAATACCTAAGTACGTGACGATACTGACATAGATTTCAGAAGATCCGACAAGTGGCACGTATAAGAATGACACTTTACTTTGGTCACGCCATTGGGTGACATGGGACATGTAAAGTGACCGAAATTGTTTATTTGGAAATTAAAAAAATACAAGATTTAGATCCGAAAGCATAGAATCGTCTCGGTGTTTCTTTCTAAATAACATTCATCTCTCTCTCTCTTTCTCTCCTTTCTTTCTTTCTTTTCTTGTAATACTATAACTATAAAGCGTACTTTGTCGTAAAAAAAACTCATATAAACAAAAGTTGAAAAAATCAGACACCCGCTTTAGGATGAAAAATGCTGTTATACTTTTTCATGTCGCACCCATAGTGTAATAAGTCCACGTCTAGAAAATAACCACTTTACGAGAGAGATCTAGAAAGACTCTACGATCAAAATTAGTCGATAACTATTTTATGCTTAAACAGGAGTAGGTGATGAGGGTTTCCAAACTCCGCCACTCTGGAGGGTTGTGTACCTTCTTCGGACGTGCAGGTTTTGTCACAATATTTTTCTTCACCGAAAAGCTCATGGTGAATATCAAATAAAATTTCGCACATAAATTCCGAGAAACTTAGAGGTGCGAGCCCGGCCTTTGCCTAGGAGGCGGCAAGTCACTACCTACCGCCTCCTTCGTACGCACTACACGTATATGATATAACTACCGGCTTCGTGGCAATTATATCTATATAGTGCGTATTATTTTTATGATTTTTACGAGATAAAAACGCTTTTGACGTCATACGTGGCCTTATTATACCGAGGGCATGATTTAGATTCTTGTCATATAAAATATTAAAAAATTTTTTATCGGCGTATGCTTAACCTCACAAAAGCCTCCAGCAACGTGAAATTCTTGATATCGCCTGGAGCCATTAGCGAACGTTTCATTGTGTAATGCAGAATGTAACGCTAGATTTGTCGGTACTTTTTCTGTTTTAACAATGTGAGTGTCTCTTCTCATGTCTTCTTCGTCTGAATAGTTTATGTCTTGGCAGTCTACGTATTTTTCCTAAAACAAGTAAAATTTTATTATTCAATTTCAAGTTGCAGTTTCGAAAGGCTTGTAAGAAAACAGTCTCTTGTCGATGTAGCCGCCTCCACTCCCCAAGGTCAGTACCTTAACCTATTTATAGCTGCTCACTTTATTGTCCTTCTTAATTTGTTTACTTGTACATTGTTCTTGGTTTACCTCTTTCTCTCTTTTTTCTGTCTTTCTCTCAATTATACATTTTATAAATTTATCACCACGTTAACAGATGACTAAACATTTTCCAAGAAGGAAATACTATACTTGTAATTTTAATTTCTTGTGTTGGTTCATATTATAAGTCTTGCTTTAGTTTTTGAATCAACAATTGCAGAATAATTTATAAATCCTTGACTAAGGATAGATAGCCCATAATAGTATTTTTTAAGCAATGCTAGACAAAATCTCATCAAGACATACATTACAAATTTCCGACATAGTCTGCCCAATATCTTTAGTGCATATCATGTAGTTGTCGATGATGTTGTGGTATCGCGAGCCCCATCGTCTCTTACATCTGGTTTTAGGAATGATCTCTACGCTTGCCTCTAAAAGGCAGTTTTGGTTGTCACCTGCTCCGTCGTTCCTTCTGTTCACCCACTGGAAAGGAATTAACATAATTATTTATTACCTTCTGACATTACTAATGTTTCTAAGTTCACGTGTTTCTTTTAAGGTTTTCAACGTTGATACTTAGTAGCGGCTAAACCGAATGGTCACTGCAAAAGTATAATACCAAGGTTTTAAGTGTTTTGCTGTTGATTGCTCTTCCTATCCTTCGACCCGGAACATTGCAATACTAATTTGAGATAAAAAGAATTAGGGCGTTGGTACCTTTCTAGGTAAATTCAGTGGATTAACCCCCCTACCACTAGGAGTTACTAGCTTAATCACGGATCAAATGAAGTTATTATTATTCTTGTTGTATTCATAAATTGATCTGGCCTACAATGGCAGTTTCACTCGACATGACTAAGCATGAGAGAGAGTGAAACACCTAAGTGTTAAAACAAGAAAAAGAAGGAAATGTACCCCTTACGTTATTATATTTCCCTGTGGTGCCCCATCCAGCAATAGTGACCATTGTACCAGGGTTCTCTAAAGTATGACTTTGATTATTATAACAGACAGGTCTGGGTATAAATTCGCATCCCCTAACCCGTCTTGTGAAATCAAAACCTTCTTCAACCTTCACTACAGCTATGTCGTTGTTCATCCACCTGATATTGTCATTCTCGTGACCATCGAACACGTAGTCTGAAACATAAAGTGCCAAAGTCATTAGAACGTGTAAAATGTATGCTTTGGTTGTTGTAAGCTGTAATAAGTCCACTGACCTAAGCAGTAACCGATGACGAAAAAAGGTTCCAAAATTGTACCCACGAACTGGGTGGTGCAGTGCACGATAAACCTATTGGAAAACAGATTTCGTAGAGAAGAATTGCGTAAAACCGTCCATTGCATATCGTTTAGAATCGAAAGTTATGGTTGTGATGTACAATTAATAGCACTTATGTTCAACAATGATAACAAAAGTGAATATTAAAAACGCCAGCTGACCAATCTTCCCATTTGATCAGCAGCTCCCATGTGTGGCACTTAAAGTCGATGAAATGTCTTTAAATTCTATATGTTTTGTACTTTACAGTTTGGCAAACTTACTTTTTGGTACGCATTTCCAGATAGCTTTTTTGGCACCGTTTTTGATGCAAGGATTGTTATATCTATCATCGTCGTCTGCATGTCTGAAAACAAGAGTAAAGTTTAAGTGATGTAGTAATCATTATTTCTTTCGTACTTCAGCTACAGATTGCGCGAATACAACGTGTGTGAGAGTCCTTATATAATCGAGTTCTTAGGTTTTCGCGATTTTTACACATAAGAAATGAAACTATTTTTCCGCATTTAAATCGCGAATATTTATTTTTTCAAACAAACCAATGTTTCGAGCCCTTTACAGGCCCTGTGGTCACGGTTGACTGGGGTAGTACAGTCATCAGCCAGTTATGTCTAATATTAATGCAAACCATACTATTTTTTCACTATAGTTACAAAAGTTATTAATTAAATACTTTATTTTTATCATAGGAACATTCCAATTTACGCTACATTATGTTTAACGAATTTTATTTTAACAATATGAATTTTTATTAAATTAAATTTATTATTAATTATTATTTATTTATTATTTAAACACTTTATTGTACCACAAAGTAACTTACAAATTTTCAGAAACAATTTAAATATTTGTGTACAAAGGCGAGCTTATCCCATAAAGAGATTTCTTCCAACTAACCTTTTTTATTAAATTAATAATTAAAAATATAATAAATTACAACATATTAATTAGCACTGCAGTGTTATGTATGTTTGGGATTTTTCATCAAATAAAATAAAAAGGAAATATTGGATCCCAAACTGGTGGTACGGAGAAACCATCTTCCCTGTTGAAATTAGGACGTTTTTTTTATTTCAAGGGCCTCTCGCGGCATCCTGGTTAGATAACGGACTTCTTTTGCAAGGTGGGTTTGTTAAACTTCATTGAAAATGTAGATTTATCCATGACATGTTCGCAGACTGCAAACATGTTTTCGCGATGGTGTTTGACATCAGCTATATGTTCTTTGACGCGAGTACAAATACTTCGCTTCGTTTGTCCAATATAACGTTGGTTTGTTTGAAAAAACAAATATGCGCGATTTAAATCCGGAAAAATAGTTCAATTTCCTCATATAATGACAAAAAAGTGGTAATCAAACGACCTCAACAACTTACTTATAAGTACCAGAAACGATATAGAAATGCCCTACGTCTTCAATACACGCGGCTGATGTAAGGATGTAGTCTTCGTGGACGATGACGCCACCGCACAACCACTGTCGGTAACTCTGTGACTTTTGATTGCTTTGTGGAAGCTTCAAGTATACCTGTACAAAATATTTAGCAATTACGATGAGAAATATATTGGAAACTGGGTGGAATCTTCTCTAAACTTCTGCTTATGTTCCAAGTTACAACAACAATGACTGAAAATTATGATTATTGTAATTTAATTTTATACATCCATACAGAAATGAATACAAGAACATCATTAGTACCAGGCAATAAGCATTCCCTTTCTGCATTTATAAGTCATTGATTGAATCTTTATGAAAACTGCGGAAAATCGGGCTAAAGAGACGATCATGTTTTCATTACATTTTGAAAAGTATTTCTATTTGCTAATTAAATTCATTCTTAACGTTGTTTCACTATGTCGTGTCTCACCAGTTTCACTACGGCAGTTTTGTGAAGTGATGGGACAAGCAAGTTGTGCGCCTGATGGCAAGCGACACGCCTATTCATGACAGTTGCAGTAAGTACCGCTCAGAGTTGAAAATTGCAAAGATCTGAACGCACTGCGCCCGACACCCTGGGACATAAGTTAACAAGTCTCTTGTGCCTGTAATTTCACCAGCTACCTTACCCTTCAGTAATGTTCACATTACTGCTTGGCGGCAGAACTTGGTAAGGTGGCAGTAGGTACTTCCCTTGATGAACTCTTTCACAACGAGCTACTAGCTACTAAATTATTGTAAAGGATAAAATTTGTTACTTGACAGTCGTGATATTGAGGACTTATATACAAGTAAACGATTATAATCAAAAATATTGATATGAAAAGATTAAGTGTTAGCTTAGCGCTAATAAGAGCAACACAGACGTACAATTTGAAAGATTAAAAGCTATAACACCTTTTTATTCTTTTGTATTAAGATTATAGCTTACTGTTACACTTTAATACTTACCATGTAAGGTCTATTATCAGTTACTTGCTCGCCATTTATAATTCTTCGTGTTTTGTTTATTAGATCAGGTGATAATTTCAAATTCATTATTTCTGGTGGTATGTGAGTTGCTACATCGATGGCTCTTATTTCTAAAATAAGAATTTTTAAACAAGATTGTCTATAGGAATAAATAGGGTATCATGTAACCGTAGATGATTTACGTAAATAACACGTAACGCACAGCCACGCAACTTAAAATGTTTAAATATTCGTTAATTACATTGTATAAATATCCATTAATATTCTTACAATTGCTTTATATGATGTTAATAAATCCAATAAAATAAACATTATCAGTTTACATTTTCATTCTGTCAAAAACTTTGACTCTAGTTTCTTCAATTACATCCGAAATGTACGTGTAGTATCGATACCTAAAGATACCAGACCCCTTAACCGATCTTTTGATTCTGGGAGCCTTCTTATAATATTTAAAGATCATATTAGCTTAAAAAGTTTCTTAAGACGTCATCCACTATACATCATGCATTAAGGATGTCATATCAAAATGTATTTTACGGCTCACAGAGTAAGCGTTATATCTGTTCAACATCTGTCTTCATACTGATCTACTCAGAACTAAAACGTCGGATTAGGGATCAGTTATCTTGGGGCATCAACGGTAAATTGCCCACATCCGTTTCAGTGCTAAATACGTATTCATAGGGCCAATACGCAATGGTAAACTAGCTCAGTAAATTAGATATCTTGTAAAACAGTAACAGTAAACTCACCTAAGATATGCAAAAATCCAGCAAAAATATAAAAAAGGGACTTCATGGCGGCATGAAGTGGAGCCACGAAAGAAATTCTACTCGAGACTAGAGTAAATTAAAAAAATATTGTTAATTTCACGCTGGTGCAAACAATTCGATTGTAATGTAACTTTGTTAAGTAATTTTTTATGGAAATATTGCTCATATCCGGTGAGAGTCTGCTTTGGACTGCCATGAAAAACATGGTGGGAAAGATATGCATCATTTGATTAACGTAATTATATTTTCCTTTAATATAGCTATTCAGAAAACTCAATACAGAACTGCGCGTCAGCGCGCAATTTTGCATGCGAAGCTATAAATATCACCACAATATTGATAACCTTAAGCGGATGCAAGTCAATGAATGTACAATGCCATTAACAATTTCCATTATACCATACCTTCAACTTAACACCGTTTGAAATTTAACGACAACTATATCCCGTACAGGAAATTTGAAATAATATGATTCAATTCGGAAAAATCCTACAGAGGTCCGTCCATCATAAGATTTATATTATATAACATTTATAGCTATTTGGCATGTTTCCTTTTTCTTTTTTTTCTCCTATGATCTATACAGATAATGTTTTGCTAATGACTTTATCTTTTACTATTGGTACTTACCATTAACATTTTATGTTCAACTTTTTTCATTTTCAACTAATTCAGTGAGGAGAAGGAGGAATAAGATTCATATATTTATTAAATCATTTATTAAGCATTAAAAGGCTTAACCTGAGATACTAGGAGTACTATTACTTTGGCTTTCCACTGTAGTTTGACTGGTTCCGGAAGTAATATGCATAGTTGCAACTGGTATTGAGGGCGCTACCGTACCAACGGTAACATTTGCATTTCTAACGTCGTCGCTCTTCGTCCTGCTTTCAGGATGCGATCTTAGTATAACACCAACTTTTTGCAGTGGGATATCTTCTGGTTCATAAATATCGGTCGTAGTGTCTACTTTGGTTGTTCCAGTTGTGTTGATTCCTAATTTCAATTTCTCTTTTTCTTCTGTTCGCCGCATTTTCTTTATTTCGTTCTTGGCAGGTCTGCCACGATATGGAATAAATTAACTTTAGATTTTTGTAAGGTTATAGTTTTTGTGGTATGTTTAAATTTTAATTAAGAAAGTCAGCAGCTTGATTTTGATTGTCTCTCCAGATCGGAAACTGCGACTTTTCCGAGTTGAAGCGCATAACTGCGATTACTATACAGACTACTGGCCGATCGGAAACTTTTGACATTTATAATCGAAACAATATTTGATTTAACTCACAAATTAGAAAGACATAGTAGGAATCAGGTTCATCTTCTCGCTCAGAAACCCATCTGAGTTCGAGACTGCCCGATCGGATCGACTCCGTTTTGAATCAAAATCAGGACACTGGAGTAGCCTTTCTTGGTACAGTTTAAATAAATGCACACAGGACGGTTTGAAATATTGTTTGATTAAAAGAAATTGTGCAAATTGGTTAAAAACTGGAAAAATACAGGTTGAATAATGCAATAAGAGTCAGGAAACACTCTTACCCGTCAGGGTGGTCGACCCAACTCATTTCAACTTCTGTATGCGTTATACTAGCGCGAAACAGTTTGTTGCAGTCGTTTCTGAAATTGAAAGCTGTTAACCGAATTGGTAATTATCATAGTATGTATGTGCATTGTTTTTAGTTTACTTTGCAGTTGAGTTTAATTTGCCGATTAGAAATATTAACAACCAATACTCAGCAAATCTTAGATAGCAAGTTGATAAATAAATCCAGGAGATAGGCAAAAGGGACACTCTGTGCTTAACATTGCAGCTTGCCAAACATGACCTTTATGAACAATCTTACTTGAACAAGCCTACATTCTATTAGACTATTTTTAACTGACTTCAAAAAAGGAGAAGGTTCTCAATTCGACTGTATTTTTTCTTTGTACGTTACACGACTACTCGGGCCGGGGCTATTTGTGAACCGATTTTGATGATTCTTTTTTTGATGCAAAGGGGTACCTTAGTATTGGTCCAATTTTGTCAAATTTGAAGATTATATTCCACCTCTAAAGCTAGCAAACTAGTGAATGAATCAGGTTTCGTGCACTTTCCGGTAACCGATTTCAATATACCTTGCTAAATGGATGTAATTCCACGAACTTTTGAGGTCGTTTTTTATAAAAACTACAATTATATGCTAATAGATTTGGCTTCAAAATAATAACACCCATACCCAACATCTTTATAAATTGCGCAGTTAATTAGAACCCGATTCTTATAGACACTGGTGTAGAGGAAAGGTCCGTAGCACTGGTTGGTCCGTTCTTTTACTAGACATGCCGAGATGATTCCGATGACCATCGCACTGGCTGCATCTCCGGTAACCAGGGGTCCACCGTGGTCGTTCTTAAAGTTAAACAATGAGTGAAAGATGGTCATACCAAAAAGATTAACAGTGTCACTTGAAGACAAATTGTAAGAAATACGAGCCCAAGCAGCATAAATCATCGCACTTATACCTAAAAATAATGCTCGTGCATCATTAACAATTGTGAATGCACACAAACGTGACTCCCGGAGGTTTAAATATATATAAGCGTTTTCAATTGACGCTTACAATCCCGGTGAGCTACTGGTTTGTTGCAGTAACTAGGATGAAAATGCGATCTCAGGTACAGGAATCCGTCTGGTGTTAATATAAGGCTCATATTAAACGTTTCAACAGGATACGTATCCGTAAAACATTACAAGTTACCTCACAGAAACCTCCACCAGTCAACCTGCGCTGTTGTTTCCTGGTGTCATTGTGGTACGCTGAATGTACGACCAAAGAATTCCGTTCTGGCGGTGGCTCCAAAAGACGTCTAAATTCGTCAGAGGTTTCATCAGGTATGTCCTGGCAGTCCACATATTTTTCCTATAAATATTAGTCGACGATAAAAAAGGCTGAAACTTTTTACCTGAATCGTTGCGTGGATTATCTTTCTAAGGGTCGTATTCTAGAACTCAATGCTCAAGTCAGGATTTGAGTATGGTTTAAAGCACTCGAAATCATACTCAAGTCCTTGCCATTAGGGTCGTATTTCCAGTGCTTGAAATCATACTCAAGTCTGCTCAAATCCTGACTTCAGCATTGAGTAGAGTTCTGGAATACGACCCTGTAAGATGTAAGTACTGGAGTATCAAGTTGTTTACAATCACAAAATATCGAAACGGAGGAGGCAATATTTTGAACAAGTGGGGTAGTATAACTCACCGAACAGATTTCACTTAAATCCGACGTCATGTCGCTAGTGCAGATCATATAGTTGTCTATGATATTGTGATATCGACTGCCCCATCGCTTCTTACAACGATTCTTAGCCATCACCATAACGTTGGCTTCGAGAAGTGCTGTTTTGTCAAAATCTCTACGAGATCTACGCGAGTTTATCCACTGCAATATATAAACATGTGGTGTTTCTGATTACCGGTCTCGTAAATTATTGTTATGCTTATTAACTTAGTGTCGATCCAATTTCAACTTAATTTTTTTGGTTAAAATACTAGGAGGCGATTTTCTTCAAAATTGCCTGAATTAAAAAAATAAAACGGTTTTTGGATGAAACATTATTTGTTGCCCATTGCACCCCACCAATTTTACCATAGATTTTTTGCCCCAGGTAACTATTTGTTTACATCAAGATCATTCGTCATCCACCATTTAAATGTCCCAATGCTGCGCGCGAGTCGCCTCTCAGAGGGTTTAGGTCAAAGTCCACCACGCTGAGCCAACGTGAGTTGGGGACTTCACAAGTTTTCTGAAGGTTGCGAACCTTTTTCGACGTACAGGTTTCATCACGTTATTTGCCTTCACCGAATATAGTATAATATAGTATAATAGTGTCTAATCATAGTGAATTTCAAATAACTTTTTTAAATTAAATTCAAACTTAAATTTATGTTTCTATTGTCAGTTTCAAAATTTTAGATCACAAATATCCACAAAGTTTAGGAAGTGAAAACACCCTAACTTGCGTACTCTTACGTAAATTCTTATTAGGCATTGATAGGTCGTTAGTCTCTGTGCAGCATTCTTAAATTGAAAATTATTGTCAACTAACATCATTATACTTGTTGGTACTTCCCCATCCAGATACTATGGCCTCCGTACCGGGTTCCTCATACTTAATACTCTGGTTGTTATAGCATATTGGTCTGGGTATATAGTCGCAACCTCTAATTCGCCGATTGAAGTCAAATTCGTCTTCCACCTTAACAACAGCTATGTCATTGTTCATCCATCTGATATTGTCATTCTCGTGACCGTCGAAAACGTAGTCTAAAAAAATATTATAGATCTAGAAGTCCAACAAAAATTTTGTAATATTATGAATCATTAGTGTTCTCAATACTTCAAATCGTCGAAGTCTATAATTAATCGGAAAACTTAATTAATTAGTCGCGTTCATCGGTCATGGATGATCTGCAGACTAACTGTCTATCAAAACAAACTGACCAGACATATAATTCGACCAACTTTACTTAGAGATGCCGAGGATATTTCAGTCCGAACCGATAACTCAACGGCATTAAACGACATACAATATTACAAATGATGACGAAAAATTTCCAAAAATTTGTGATTATACCAGTGAAGTACAAAATAATGGTAACTTCTTTCCATAAGAGGTTTCACTTTATCCACCTCCTAAATTTATCAAATTAGTTTGATGATGTTGTATTGTCATCCAAACTGTGCAATGCTCTTGAAAGTTGGAAATGAAACTAGTTTTTCTGGATCTAAAATCTTATATATTTGCTTTTCTAATAAACCTCTGTTTTAAAAAATAAATATGTAAGATTTTACGTCCGAAAAGAGTTTCAATTCCATTGTGTAGAAATCGCTAAAACCTAAGAACGCGACTCGTAAAAATGATCAATCAGGTAGTACTAAAACTCTTTAATCCTAAAGAGGATGAGAAGGTTTTAAAATATGTATCCGATTTTAATCTAAATAAAAGCTAATAGAATTATTGAAATTAAGATTAGCAATTAACATACTTCTCGGAATACATTTCCATATAGCCTTTTTAGCACCGTTCTTTATACACATATTATTCTGGCGATCATCGTCAAATGAAAACCTGAAAATTGTGAGAATGGTAACGTAATGTGTTTTTTGAGAATCTCGTTGACGTTACTTTTATAACTAAAGGTCATTATCTAGTGTTGCAGTCTGAACAGTAGCGGCAATAATTATGAAATTCGTTGTTTAAATTTATAACTGTCTACTTTGTATACTAGCATATTGGTTAGAATTAGAGTTGACAATATTTTGATCATCGTCAATTGGTTTTGAAAATGACCACGAAGGAGTTTTTTTAGAAACTGATTACTGCACAGTCTAAAGATCATAATACCAGTTGACAAAGTTTGTAAATTACTTTGATACTCCGGAAACGATATAGAAATGGCCAACGTCCTCAATGCAGGCAGCGGAAGTGAGGATATACTCATCGTGGACTATCACCCCGCCGCACAACCATCGTTTGTAATCTTTGAATTTAGGACTGCTAGTCGGCAGCTTCAGGTACACCTAAAGGAAAAAAACTCACTTATCTTCCATTCTTGTGAAGAAAAACACTAATAATGCTTCGATGACTGTGCATCTACATGCTATGCAATGCATCAGGGTCATATTTAGGGGAATGCTAAAAAAGGGGAATTATGATAACAATGTTCAATGAACTTACTGGCCACTTATACCGGAACGTTTAATTTGAAAAAAGAATGACATCAATTGTCTTTGATATCGATTAACCGTTCTGATACATATGGCCAGTGGTTTATAAGAACGTTGCTATCACAATCCAATCTTTTTTAGTGACAATGAAACTGTTATATTAAGTTGCAATAGCAACGACTATATTAATGGACATCGGATTTCATGTCTTGCGAGTAGTTTGCCTGCAAGAAAAAGTACGAAAAATTCTCACCATATAAGGTTTCCCTTCGCTTTGTACGCCGTTGATGATTCTCCTTGTGTTTTTGAGTAAATCTTTTATGTGCGTGGTATTTGTTCTCCTCATTAGATTCGCTAACTTCGGTGGCAATGTCGTGGCTGTCTCGATCGCTACAGCACCTATAAAAGGAACTATTCCATAAATTGTCTTTTCTCCTAAATTTCTTAATATATTTTTCTTTACAAATTACCTTCTCCGTATATGAAATTTTATTTCTACGACCATGTTACTAGAAAATAGATGAATAATCAAACGTAAAAGTCAAATAAAATAAGCCCAAGGTAAAGGATTTTGAGTTCCATGTCATAGATATAAAGTATATCATTTGACTGCGTTCTTAACATGAATCAAAATTAAAAAATTAAATTTCAAAATTGTTATTAAGAAATTAAGTTTTCAAAGAAGATTGAAATCATCTGCAATATTATAAGCACACGCCATATAGTGTATGTAATTACATAGTTCATTTATTAACGAATGGAATGAAAAGAGATATGATTGAACTTAATCTCTTCGGGTATTTTATAGTAGAATATATATGTCCTTTATAAGAAAGAGAGGAAGATCAAGAACGGTAAAGAAATAAATAATACAGTAAAGAAATAAAGAAGATCAAAATGAGCAGATATGAAGATGTCAAGGAGCTGGCTATGAACCGTGTGGAGTGGAGGAAGCTACACCGACAAGAGCCTGGCTCTTAAATAGGATGATGATATATTATATTAAATTTAAACGTCTGAGTATAAGATATGATGATAAAGTGCATTTAAAGGCTAAAGATATAACTTCCGGAAGTCTATTATTGAATATTTTAGTCGGATAGAAGGCTTTCTATCACTACAGCATTACGTTGTCTTTCTGTATAGGAGGTATTACCATTATCAAATTTAAATTAATTTATTTCTTTGTGTAACACTTTGTGATAAGTATTATAGAACTTTTGCCAGGTAGGGTGACGACCACAGTCATACTCACTTAGAGTCAGTTATGTTCTTACCTTTATGTGTCGCTATATAATAAAAATAAAATAATGAAACTCCTAGTTTGAAGCGTTTATGTTCATAAAAATGTTTTGCAATTTGCCTCGTCACATGATATTTAGTTACATCATAAATATTCTTACCTAAAGTATGCCAAATAGCCCAAATAAGATATTTAATCCATAATGTATCCATCTTGAAAAAAATGCCTAGAGAAAGAGGTAGGTGAACATAAAAATATGTAGAAGAAATTATATAGCTCTCTGCATAATTTCACGGTTGATAAAAAAAATGATTAGTTCAAGTCATAATGCCGTTTCCGTTGCAAAAACTTTAATATTCCGAGTTTTTTATGATGCCTCCGGGTTTTCAATTGCTCGTGTAAAAATTCTCCGAATACAAGACTTTGAAAACAATGTTTTACAGTTTTTTTTAAGTAAACTCCTTTTCAAATAAGTTGTTTCTTTAGTATGCACATAGTAAATATACAATATATTGTACAAATAACATTAAATTTGAAGCGAAGGTAATGATCTGTGTCGGTTTATGGCAAATTGCCTTTTAAGCCAAATCATGTTACGTTTCTTTCAAGAAATACATAATTATTTGTTTGATGAATTCTGCACTGTATTCTTTAAACTAAACACAACTTATTTTAAGTTATCACATGTGCTTGACGTTTTAAATATTATATGCCAATTTATTTAACTACCACTATGGCTAAAGTGCTGGACAGCGTGCTTAAATAAACACATAATGCTGCATGTCGAGTTACTTGGCGCTGAGTATGGCTTCAGGCCTGTTTACAGCATCAGTTATACTTATTGCTTTAAGTACACTGTTCGATATTACATTGGTATGAGGACATCTGTTTTTAACTACTTGCTTGACTTATTAAAAGCTTTTGACATGGTTTCGTACAGAATATTTTGGAATAAAATGCATAATACAAGTATATCTAAACAGCTAACAGACTTCTTTAAATACTGGTAAAAACAAATTTGTTAAATAGGCAGGAAAGTTCTCGGAGGAATACAAAATGAAGTGTGGTGTGAGTCAGGGGGCTGACATCGCCCAGCTTATTTAACTTGTATATAAATGACCTGATTTAGGAGCTCAGCAGTACTGGTGTTAACTGTTCAATAGATGATTGTTTTGTAAGTGACACAAGCTATGTATGCCGCCTGTTTGGATACAATGTTAAAAAGGTATATAGGCTATGGAAAATTTAACGGTCGATGTTGAATTGGAAAAATAAGCGCACTGGCGCTGGTGGTACGGGTACGATAACATTTATTTATTCATTTACATTGTAACTTACAGCGAAATAGACAAATACGCTTAATTGTATTTAACTACGTCTTAAAATTTTAAAATCTCCCTACATATTATATAGAACGCGACCAGCGTATATGTCAATATGATAACACTGAGTGAGTACGTCCCCGATCAGTCGAATTGCGCAAACGGTAGGCGTGTTCGCGGCGTGTACTGTGCGAGTGACTAGTGTGAATTATATTGGCCCTCAGGTTTGCGCGATGCCCAAATAAGGTAAAATACACCCTTTTCAACATATTGCTACCTATACAAGTGCAACCTGTGGAACAATTACACCTGAAAAACCTACCGTGTCTTGCGTATCCAATTCAACAACGCTCTTAAGGTACTGCTAGGGCTGCTTCGATACTGTGGCGCCTCAGGGATATTTTTTTAATAAAAAAATAAGTGCAGACTTGACCTCAATCTCACTTGATGGAAAGGTCGATGATGCGCACCTAAATAATGCCGATTTATTCATTCTCGCCTTAAAAAAGATCCCAGTTGTAGCGTTTAGGGAGTAAGTCTGCACGAAGAGAATTCCATAGCCGTTCCGTAGAGATAAATGTGGAAGCGTAACGCTTCGTGCGAATCTTTGTGAATTAAAAAACATCATAATTTCATCAGTTTCTCCGTTCAGTTTGGGATTCAGCATTTGGATGTTTGGATTATTTATAAGCATCAGTAGAAAACGTTGTGAAAGAGTTCGTCTAGGGTAATACTGCCACGTTACCTATTTCGGTCGCCAAGCAGTAATATTAGTATTACTGCGTTCCGATTATTAAGGGTAAGGGTGCTGGTCACATGGGACTTTTCAAATTATGTCTCAGGGTGACGGGCGCAGTGGCAGTGCCCCTCAAATCTTTGCGACTTAAAGCTCTGAGTGGCACTGCAACTGTTATGGACAGGCATGTAGCTTACCATCAGGCGCATGACTTGTTCGTCGCGTCACTTGATATTATAAAAAAAAGATTGAAGTCAAATGCGCACTTATTTTTAATAAAAGAAACCAGTTGTTACTCGATTTCTGTACATATAGGCATTGCTTACATATTTTTTTTAAAGTAAACAAAGTAGTAGAGCCAAAGGAACGATTCAGATGACGAGCGTAAAGCGTAAGCAAAAGCGCACAATTTTGTACCCTTGGTATAATAAATCTACATATGTATGATCGTACGTCAAATGTACTTTTATCACATGAAAGCATCGAGTATATAACCAGAAATAGATACGAAATAAGGGCCATACATTCCTGGTAACACATCAGTGATACATCACTTATAAATATCAACTCTCATTTGCACTGAAATTACAAATTAGAAAGCTGAAATAGTACAGCGCCAACAACTGACCAGTGTGTACGTCTCAGTATATTTCAAAAATGTTCAGTATTTATTGTAATGAAGATAATATCTCTAACAATGGCGTGCTGTTCCAGTTGGAGGTGAGGGGAAAACCAGCAAAACATCTAATTACAAAACAAACGGAATCAAATTTCATTGGTAATTAAATATGAAAAATGTAATTTTGCAATTTTCGTCCATTACAGCAAAGCTCAAGTTAAACTGGTCGATCTGAAGTGAAACAATTGACGACGCTTCGAATTCGGGCTGGCCAATCGGAGAAATAAATTTGTGCCGCATGGCCGCAGCTGTAAATTTGTTCAAATTGACATCACGGTCGCTTTTCTCTTTCCCGCAAACTGTAACGTCATCAAGATAGGAATATGTATCCTTAAGTTTCTCACTATTGATTGTATATTGCATCGTTCTTTGAAAAGCGGATACTCCGTTAGTAACTCCGAATGGTATACGTGTAAATTGATATAAATTTCCGAAGCATGCGGAATGCCGTGAAGGGTGTTCCCCTTTTCTGGATGGATAGGCATGATAGATGATAAACACTCTTGAGGTCTATTTGGCTAAAATATTTGTTTTAGGTGATTTTTGTCGCGAGAGTTTCAATATTGGGCAGTGGATACGCGTCAAGTTCAGTAAATTTGTTGATGGTTCAAGAATTGTTGATAACAAGGCGTTTACGGTGAGACCAGTACCTGTACCACTAAAACTCGTGCCCTCTAAGATGACATACTGGGTTCAATTCCTCCATCCTTCAATAAATTTTCAATTTCTTCTTTGACAAATTGTTCCTCAGTTTGACTATATCGTCTTGATTTTAAAGCAATGGGTTTAACTTTAGGCGTTAAGTTAGAAAATAATGAAGCAATAGGTAAATTTTCAGCCATGACATCACATACCTTCAACGGTTCTCTAGAACCTCCAAACTGGAATTTCAACGAATGGTGACTTTTCAATATATCATAGCCTAAAATAATGTCAGCGCATAAGTCGTGTACAATTAATAATTGAACATTTTCATAGACAAATTTTTGCAGTTGTATTGTAGCATTACAGGAACTGTTAACAGATGACGTGTAATTTAATTACGCGAGAGTGATCATATGTTGATAAAATTTTCTTTTCAATTTCGATAATCGGGCTAATTCTCCGTTGATAAAACTGATAGAGCTTCCGGTATCAACAAATGCCTCCGCACAATAGTTGTTTACGGTGACCGGTTGTTGCCTTATGCAAGCTGGATGGGGAAGCCGCTGATATTGTCGCTACCTCTGAAAAATTATTAGTATTATCAACATATCTTAAGACAGCATTCATAGTTTGTTCGACAAACATTTGCGAAATGTCCCTTCTTGGAACATAATTGACACATACTATGTAAGGCGGGACATTTAATTCGTTGATCACATTACTGCCGTTAAAGAAGCATCTCCTTTTATTAGACGTAGCAGCTAGTGCAGATTCTTCGATGTCGTCTCGCTCGGTAGATGTATTAGGAGGATAGCTATTTTGTGAAGAGCGTAAAGGAGCAATAGTATCACCAGCGTTAAGTGTAAGGGAATTATTATTGAAAGATTGAGAGCTTGTTTCTGCCATCTCGAGTGAGAAAAATTGAGAGTACACTTGATTGAAAGCTTGATCTAAAGAAAACTCGAAGTTTTCTTATAAGCGCTTTCTTATCATAGGCGACGAGATGCCGGCGATAAATGCGTCCCTGACGTATTCAGATCGATATTCTTCAACCATCACGTCTTTAAAGGTGCAATTATGTGCGAGAAATTTAATTTGTCTCATCTACTGATGTTTTGACGCTTTTGTCATTGTGTTGTTTCCGAGTTGTAATAATCTCAGTACAGAGTACTAAAAAAACCGACCTCAAAAATACGTGGAATTACGTCTATTTGCTAAGTTTCATTGAAATATCCCCTAGTTCGCCTCTATACAGGACTTGATACTGGAGATAATAAAAATAGGTTCTCACTACGACACTACTCAAAGTATATCGAGAGAAAAACGCCTTGAATTGGAGAATAGCAAAATCAATTAAATAATTGCTAAGAGTAATTGCTCCTAAATTAAAGTTAGGCGCTATTTATAAAATTGAATCTTCATGCGTGAACAGCCACCCTTTGAGGTGGATGATTTTCTTCAAAATGAAATGGGACCACTATGGAAATACCCCCTTTCCAACAAAAAAAAAATCATGAAAATCGGTTCACAAATACCGGAGTTATCGCGTAACATACATACAAAAAAAAGAAAAAAAAAAAGAACATACAGTCGAATTGAGAACCTCCTCCTTTTTTGAAGTCGGTTAAAAATGAGACGCGCGTATATTTGGTTTTGTGCGTTTAATATAAACATCATTTAAAATTGAAATGGCCGTTTCGAAGTCTCTACATTGTCGTATATTCGAAAATAAGCTAGGCGACAAATGGTTAATCAAAATTTTTGTTCTTCTGTCAACTCACCGGAACCTTCTGCTATGAAATTATCAAAAGTGTACTTCCAATGTGTCCATTCAATCTCCGCATTAATAGAGCTTGGATCTAGTTCGTGGCCGGTTCTAGGCTCGGTGGCTTATTTTT